CATTTGTTTAAAGCCAATAGGTAGGCTGTATATTGAAAGTTTACTTTGGGTTCTAAGTTTTCTAAGTTTATTTTTGTTTCCTTGCTTAGCAGTTAATCAACAGCCTGCAGCATTTAGTCATTGGGCAATATCTTAGCAAGAGGAAGACATCTCAATAAAAGATTGTTTAACCAAAGGAGGAAATAAAAGATTTTTGTTGCTGGGAAATACCCTTGGCAACAAAGTCCATACTTGAAGGCCAGAAAATAAATCCTTTAGGTAATTTAAAACAGTCCAGAATGAAAACATCACTCCCTGGACATTTACATTTGTTCTTGTTAACAAATAAGGAAGTTGGATCAAAATTTCACTTTGCTAAGAATCATACCCACCATTCTATTCTATTTTTCAGGTACAAGTGTCTATTGTGGAGGGAAGTGACATTGCATGCATCTTCACATTCTGTAAATGCCACAGATTTTGTAATGCAATATCATTGTGAAATTATCATAGTTTCTTCCAGACCCCTGTATCTTCATACCATTTACTTGGAATGAGTTCCATGGTTTTCAGATAGTTTTAAAAACAAATAATAATTTTCTTAAGTTCACTACACAAAAACCAGTGTTAAGTACAAAAATAATTGCATGTGTATTTTTAAAAAATGTAAATGCGACTTTCCTAAAGTAGCAAGAGATATGGGCACTGTTGCATGGCATGTCTAACCCAGTAAGTCTCTAATCTAGGAATGACTGCTTGTATGTTTCTCCTACCAACCCCTTAAGTACTACTTGGAGTGTGGACCAGGTAATAGACCTTCCCAGGTGCATCCTCCATTCTATGAACTCCATCCCCTCACCAAGGTACCGATGGTCCCCACCCTATTGGCATTTTGTAAACCAGCCAAAGTAGCCCTAATTCAACAGGTGGCTTAAAATCATTTAAGTTTTTAAGCACCTATGAGGATTTTGATTTGGTTTGTCCAGAGTAAACTATGACTGAAAACACAAACATTTCTCTTGTAAACTTTATTTTTCTCCTTCAGAATGGACAAGGAACAAAGATCAAATCTGAGGTAAACTTAGAGTTTTAAGGAGTGGTTTTGGCAACTCTTCAGGAGCCTAAGACTTTTTTCTTCTTCTTCTGAAGAGTACTTGTGTAAAAGACTGCAAGGAGAATGCCAGAAAAAAAAATAGGGGGAGAAAAGAGGTAGGTAGCAAAGCACAGTAATGGGGTAATATTCTTGAGAGGTTTGTTTTATAGCATCTTATCAAAATATACCAGACAGTGAGCAGAAGCATCAAATTTCACTTTGGTATAATTCCTGAAAGAGGAAAGGTAGAGAAAGCATCTGTGGGGTTGATTCCTAAATTGGAGACTAATGAAAGTTGCTTGGCATGGATCTGGATTCCAAATAACCTTTAAGAACCTTACCATTTAGAAAATGAAAACTGACTATATAAAATCAGGTGATACCTGCCTTATTCTTCAGCTTGCCTTGGTTTGGACCCTGATTCTATAAAATAATTATCTAAACCTACTTTTTAAAAAAAAATTCTGACTGAATATTAGTACAACATTTAGGGTGATAATAAAGGTTAATGTGAAAAGCTAGAGACTCAAGAAAAAAAGCCTTGTCTGCAATTTTATGAGTATGGTTGATTTTTACTAAGAAGAAACATTAAAAGCAGTGAAGAAATGGACTGGTTAGGAAATCTTCTGTAAGAAGACCACAAATGAGGTTTGATGAAACAAGATCTTCTCATAAACATACAAGGGGAACCGTAAGTGCTCCTGTCACAGTCAGTTAGGAACAAGCAACTGCTAGGAAGAAAAAAAAAATCTGCAAAAAGGTAGGTCTCTAATGTTCAGACCCAGCAAGCATGCTAGAAATATCTATTCCAAATGTAATATCTCAGAATCACACAGTGGAATTTTTGAAAAGTTTCATTTCTTATTAAGGAAACTTAATAGGAGTTGCATAAATGATACCGATCCAATGATGGTAAATACCAGAAGGGAAATCATGAGGAATAGAAGGAGGAGGGTATAATGAATATGAAAAAAATTAAAATTGTAGACAATTTAAAACTCATGTGATCTTTGATATTAGGATAAATTTTCATATTGGAAATGTATATCATTGGAATTATATTCCTAGACCACTTCAGTGAAGGCAAAGAACAGAGGTATCCCTGAGATTAACTAGTGAGGCCACTTTCAGTTCTGCAAAATTGCAAAGTTTCTTTCTTTCTTTCTTTCTTTCTTTCTTTCTTTCTTTCTTTCTTTCTTTCTTTCTTTCTTTCTTTCTTTCTTTCTTTCTCTTTCATTCATTCATTCGTTCGTTCGTTCGTTTATTTATTTATTTATTTATTTATTTATTTATCTATCTATCTATTTATCTATCTATTTATTTATTTATTTATTTATTTATTTATTTATATATTTATTTATTTATTTATTTATTTATTTATTTATCCTCCCCTACATTGAAGTTAAAGTTATAGTTCAGGGTCTCTGAAGAAGAAAGTGGAGTTTTGATTTTTAATGGGAGAATTTTCCCTCACCTACTCTGTGTTTTGAAAGTTGTGAGACTGAGAAAGCTGATAATATATTCCCTTAGACAACCAAATGAGCATGGCACAAAGGGCACACAGTGGAAGGAGTCTTTATTTACATTTATTTTTTTCTTGTCTGTATTGCAATAAAGTGATTGATTATCCCAGGAAGGAAGGAAAAAGTTATGTGTAGACTATATGTGAAGACAATTCTGCCCTCTAGTGGCTATTGAAAAAATAAAACTATTAAAAGTCATCTTTTTTAACCAATTAAAACTGATTAGCTAACAAAGTATGAATATAGTATTAAATGCTAAATTGTTTTGTGAATGTTTAGTACTGAAAACTATTTATTTTGTATCATGCTAGTTTTGAAGATACAATCTCAAATTAAATAGTTAACTAATTAACAACATAATTTCAAATTAAATTACATTTCAAATATGAGGAGGAAGATGTGTTGCATATGTTTGGTGCTTTGAGTTATTTGTAATAAATAAATAAAAGTGCATTGCCCAATTAGGAAAAGTATATGAGTCAAATTATGACAAGCGCATAAGATATGATTTAGGGCTATACTGTATGTTTGGAACCATGTCTTCTACAACATGATCATGAAAATGGGCTACTGCTATGTGTAATATGGCATGCACATGTTATATGAACCCCGAAACTCATCATTGCCAAATGCGATATGGTTTTAATGCTTTATTATTGTGCGTTGGATGGAGCTGTTAAAACAAAGTCATATTAAGGTCCGGCTTTTTTTTTATATGTGTAGCACATACACACATGTTATCATACCTCCCCTCTTGACTTTTCTAACTCCCCCCTGCAGATATCCTTGGCCAGGACAAGAGAATACATGTGATTACATTTACTATTTAATTTACAGTTTGTATCATTCATTCCCATAATAATTTTCCCCTTCTACATTACAATTTGGGAGGAGGTTGCGTTTGTGGGTTGAAGATTAGTGCAATCTGGAACTCCAGATTCTACACTTTAATCATAGCATGTTGTGCAAACCAGTCACTGTGGCTGCTGTAGTAGTTATAATAAATTTCTTTCATGTAATGTTTATCTGGTGGGGTGACTGTTCTAGGTACAAATGCTCTCCCATCAGTTTTTTTCTTTTTTCCTAAGAACAGTACAATGTATTTGTTTATTTAAAACAATTATTATAGTCCCTCATATCAAACTCTGGGTGGCTCCCAATCAACTAAATTGATTTCCATTTCATCCAGAAACATACACCTTGGATATTTATTTGCTTCTGCTGACCAAAGGTCAGCCTTTTATTTGCATGGTGACAAAGTTCAAAACTCATAATTGCTCTTTGATCAATGCAAAGCAAGGTTGCACAGTTGCTTTCTTTTTTTTAAAGTAACACAATGCCTACGACAATATTGTTAGCACCTAATACATATTAGTTTGGAAGCAGAGCTGTATGCTTCTATTGTACATAGGTACCAGGTTTGTCTATATGTTTGTGGAGATAGTGATTTATAGCAGCACAGTATAATAATAATAATAATAATAATAATAATAATAATAATAATAATAATAATAATAATAATAATAATAATAATAATAATAATAATGATGATGATGATGATGATGATGATGATGATGATGATGATGATGATGATGATGATGATGATGATGATGTTGGAAGGGACCTTGGAGGTCATCTAGTCCAACACCCTACTCAGGCAGGAAACCCTATACCATTTCAGACAAATGTCTGTCCAATCTCTTCTTTAAAACATCCAGTGTTGGAGCATTCACAGCTTCTGGAGGCAGGTTGTTCCACCGATTAATTGTTCTAACTGTCAGGAAATTTCTCCTTAGTTCTAGATTGCTTCTCTCTTCAGTTAGTTTCCATCCGTTGTTTCTTGTCCTGCCTTCAGGTGCTTTGGAGAATAGCTTGACTCCATCTTCTTTGTGGCAGCCCCTGAGATATTGGAACACTGCTATCATGTCACCTCTTTATTAAACTAGACATACTCAATTCCAGCAACTGATCCTTATATGTTTTAGCCTCCGGTCCCTGCTCATCTTTGTTACTCTTCTCTGTACTCTGAGAGACATATTCTGAGAGACATCTCATTATTTTCACAGAGCTTCTCTTTCAAGTAAGAGAATGCTGGACTGAAGTCCTATGGTACGAAATTAGTGATCTGGGAAATACTGATAATCTTGAAATGCAACCGCATGGATGCTGAAATCTGGATAGAAATGGAAAATACAATAGCCTCTCCCTTTAAGCCTATCTGGTCCTGCTTGTAACTTGAAGAAAGCTCCAGTCTATACAGTCTTCATATCAATGGTGTAGATTCTCATGATGCTTAATACTCATGTTTCTTCTGAGTTATTTACTTGATTGAATCTACACATCACTTAGGATACATTATACTTACAAAGCTATTTGATTTATTTTACAAATTCTATTTTTTTCAGGGAACCTTGGATCTCTGGATTATCTTTTGAAATGGCTCTCCTGTTCTTTGTCTTGGTCTTAAGTTTTATCCAGGCTGAATTTGAAAGCGGTGAGTATTTAAATAAGCATCAGAAAAATTAACTACGTTAAACAAAAAGTAGACGTAGTTTGACCCTTTAGCACACACTGTGGGCTTTCAACCCACAGACACCCATGACAGAGCAAATACACAACTAATGATCAAGACAGACGTACTACATGCATATTTCATATATCATGATTAAAACACATTTAATCAAATCAAATAGATGTTTTAGTCATAGGCCAGAAAAATTTAAAACATTTGAGTTTAAATAGTTGAGCTTTGGTTCTTTCCATATATATGTATTTATTAAAAAAATTACTATAATAGTAAAATCCAGTACAAATTAAACTTAAAGGAAAAAAGGATATAAAGGAGTAAAAAGTGAAAGAAAAAAGGAGGAAAAGAGTAAGAATATAATAAAGACAAATATATATATATATATATA